TTCCTTTCTTGGAATAAGGAAAACTACATTTCCACTTGGAAACTTTCCTGAAGACGCTGTTTTTTCATGCTTATGAATGTTTCTTTAAATTAATTCAAGAAGCGTGTTAAAATGGAGAGAAAAAGATCAAGAAATGTGTCAACACTAAATTTTATAAATCCTCTTCTCCCTCATAATTTTTCTGCACAAAATTTAATGTGGAGGTCAAAAACCTTCTTAGAACAAGGATTTGCATGCTTGTTTATTTTAACCGTACATTTAGTTCCCCAAACCAGTTAAATTTAAGTTGCAGACAATTATATCATTACAGCTACAGCCTTTAGTGACTATAATTGAAGGCATTTTCTCAGAAAAGTTTGGCTTAAGAAGAGAGTGTAAGTATCTACTGCTAATACCCATTAGTGTGACTACTGATGCTTAATATTTCAGTTAGCCATTACATGCTTACTACGACAGTTTATGACAAAATTAACAAGCAAACTGATTTAAAGATTCAGTCCAGTGCTGATTTCCCAAATTGAGTCCTGCTTTCATCTCCTTACCATGTATGTGTAAAAATTGTGAATAACTTCATTGGGCCAGACACAATGTTGCCTTGCACCTAATCATTTTCAGTAGTGCCGAGTGGGTGTAAAACATTGCCATTGTGTTTGTAGTGCTTTGCACTCTGAATTGGTATGTGGTCACACGAGATTCTGAGCATGAGTGGATTGAACTGATTGGCTTTGATCAGTCTAATCATATAAGATTTACTAGGATAAGTGACAGATGCAGAATCAGGCTCTATCTTTGTATTAGAGGACTTGTGAATAGAGTAGTTCAAAGTAGTTCATACTTGAATATGGAATGTCATGTGGTGTAGTGTGGTGTCTAACCCTTCATTTCTGTTTACTATTTTTTAGTTAAATTCTCTCTCAAATTCTTGCCTTTTGCCTGCTACATTCTAACTTGCTTGTTTCAGTAACATCTTCTTTTTTTTAAAAAAAGTAGGACAAGATTCACTCTATTTTTAAGGGGTGGCAACTGAATTTCGTTTACACTGGGCTGTTTTCCCCTTTCTGTATTTGAATCTTGAGTGAATGTTCGATAGGGGGCACCAGAACACAGGCTGTGATCAGTTGTTTCTGGAATATTTTATTTTTTCTCTCTCCCATGATATGATGTAAATAGGCAGAGTAAATTTGTTGAAAACGAAATCAGAGTGTTAACCTTCCACACGCATAGAAGTGTGCATCTGTCATTGTATTAGGTTACAGTAGATACAGGAAATCTTTAGTTAGGATTAAGTTGTACTGTTCAGCCATATGTTATTCTCCTGCAGCAGAACTGTATATAATATATCTAATAAAATCATGTTGAAGAAAACCAGATTTTGGCCTCTGTCCAAATAAGACAAAACATATGTTTTTGTCTTTTGTAAATGTTCTTGTTTTAACTGGGGGAGAGGGCATATTCCTATTATATCCTACAGCGCGTCTTAAAGCTACCTACTTTTGTTGCTATTTCATGTTCTCTTTCTGCAGACATCTAGATATCAAAAATATTTACTGAAACTGCTTATAAAGATTCTCATAACCACAAATAAAAAAGGTTTGATTGTCTCAGATTCAAATCTAGGGCCTGACCCAGCAAACCAGTACTCATGTAGGTATTCCTTATGTAAGTGAACTGATGCATGGCATAAGTGAGATTTTATTGTGGGAAGAATGACTACTTGCATGAATAAATATTTGTAGGTTAGGGATTCCAGTTCTGCTCTAGAGATGCAAAGGAAAAATCTTGTTTTTTAAATCTGTCTAGTCATTATTATTATTTTTAGTCTCTGCTAAAACACCCTTATTTGGTGTTATCATATTTTGCCTCCCCCATGCCCTTCCACCTTCTTTTTTGTTTTTTCTGCATGTCATGTCTTGCCTTTTAGATTGTAAAATGTTTGGAGCAATCACTTTGTATTTATTTGTACAGTGCCTAGCACAGCAGAGCCACAGCTCTGAGTACTACCATATTATTAATATTTAATGATAGCAATAACTTCTGATGAGAAAGCATGCATGTACCTTTTCAGAGGAGAGAATATTTTGAACATGAAAACATGAGGCTAGAAATTAATCGCACATACAGTTTATTTTTCATTTTGATTGCTTTTTAATTACATCCTTCAAGCAATGTAACTTGCTGGTAGCAGAATAAAAAAGGCAAAAGTTGTTATCCCTTAATTAAAGGGTAGAAGAGAAGTTTCAAGGGCATAAACTATGTGAAGAGTGCTCATATATCTGCTTACAAGCCAGCTTTGCAAAGCATATAAATGTTTTTTGCCCCTCAGAGATGTACTATCTCAGATTAGTTTAACGGACATCTTTCTCTCTAATTCTTCCTTTCAGTCTCTCTTCACTTGTTTAACCTCCAGGTGGCACTATTAAGCAGAAAAGAAAATTACTGTGAAATAATGAGTCCAATGTAAAGTAAAATTGGAAATTGAATTATAGGTGCAGAAAAAGGACAGTAGCCTTGAGGTCCTGATCAACCTGTACTCTTATCACTTTTGTTTGCTGTTCCCATGTGTTAGGTTACCAGCAAGTTAATAACAGTGCTTCAGCAGTTCAAGGTTTAGTAGAATTGCACTGGACATGAAATAAAGCTAAAATGAATTTGTGTCCAATATCATTGACATTAGTGCTCATTACTTCTGTGGTGTAATGCCTCAAACCATCTAAAATCAATTTTAAAGATTACCCATTATTTTATAAAGAAAATAAAATACATTTCAAACAGCAACAAAGCTGTAAGTATAGTGTAATCTCATGAGCAGTTAGTTACTTGTGTGTTAGCTGAGTGGCAGGAAACTACTGAAGGTACAGAACAAGAAAATCTGCAGGGAAACTAAAACCAGTGTACAGTGAATTTAGTAGGCCAGCTTTTATGATACTTCTCTGAATATGAAATGCAGAAGTCAAACCTGCAAAAATGTGAATTTCTTCATGGTCACATTTGTAAATCTGGAAAGCAAACTAAGATTTATTTAAAGGGAAAAAAGAATGAGTTTACTCCTACAAGTGCTTACACTGAAAAACTGGATTTATTGTGTGGTATGATTCTTTTTCTTTTTGTCATGATGTTTGTCTTATTTCTTGTTTGGGATTTTACGTTTACCAAGAGTCTGTGCTGAAATCCCTTTTCTGTGGCCCGTGAATGATGGCTTTTCAAACTGTATTCATGAAGCTGCTGTTGTTGAGAAAAAAGGAGGTGTGGGTTTAAGTTCTGTGTTGTTGCATGCTACTGCATGGCTTCTTTGGGGACACTGGGAAGTTATTTTAAATGTATTGTGCATTAATATGTTGTAGGCATAAATGTTAAGAAGATAAATTATGATTGGTGGTTATTTTTAAGTAAACTAGGAGGGGTTTATAGGAGTAAAAAGCTGGCTTTTACCAGAGTTTTTAAAATGATTTTGTCTTAGCACATAGCTAAAGCTAGTCACTATTAGAACTCTACCATCTTAAATAGAATCTCACGTCAAGTATAGGAGAAAATTATGGCCACATTTTCATCACTGCAAATGTTTAAGTCGAATTATTTTGTGTATGTGTATAAGCACTTACTACACATAAAGTTATATCCCAAATTTACAATTATGTTTCTGCTCATGTATTTTGCTTTGCAATTTTATAGGCTTTAACTGAAAGCCAGAAATCTTTTACACCTTTTTACATTAAATACTGTTGGAATGTTTTCTATAATAGACAATAGTTTTCAGTCTACTTATATCTTAAAATGTTGCAGTTCAAGCGTGTGTCTAGTCTTGTGAAATATGAATAACCAGTCTACAATAATTTTATTTTAATTGGAGAATTTTTATAATACACTTGGTTTGGGGCTTTTTTGGTCTTCATCCATGCTTATGTTAATGTTATCGCTTGTATCCCATTGTACAGTGGTAAATCTAATAATTAAAGGGAAGCATATTAATAAATAAAGGTAATCTAAATATTAGTAAGTAGGAAAATGTCCCCTAATATCTTAATCTTGCTTTGAAACATTTTAGTAATTTTTGTATTTATTAACATTAATCATTAGCAAAATAAATGTTTTGCTAATGTTGAGCATTTCCATTAGATTCAATAGGAGTAGTCACATCAGTAAAGTTATACACACTCAAAACATTTGACAGGATCTGGCCCTTATTGTCTCCTGCTAATCATGTTAGATTAGGCATATTGTACGGTTCCCTTCTTTCTTAAAATATTGCAGTAGTACTGCATATTCAGAGTAGCAACAATGATGCTCAGATTTCAGTCCTTGTGGAGTAAACTGACTCTGACTTTCCATATTTCTTGAATGTTGTACTCTGATTACACACTATTCATGAACTAAAATAGTTTATGCTGAATGTATTTGACCACTTATTTTTATAAATATAAGGGCTAAGATGAGGGGTTTTGTCTGAGCTTCATGAAAACTTTTTAACATCACATTTGTCAATGTGGCTCAATGGCATTTTTATTCTACTTTTATACAAAAATTTGTAGAAGTGTAAAATACATTGGCTGAGATTCAAAAATATTCTACTACTCATAGGTATTTCAAAGTACAGACATTTCCAAACTACTCCATCTTCTTCAACTCCCTCAAAAGAAATGGGTGAATTTAGAGCATTTTAATATTTTCAAAATATAGAAAGTTCTTGAGTAGACACCAACATTTCCAAAGTGTATATGCTTTCACACTCCTTTAAAAGCATTAATTGATCCAAATGGTAATAACAGATCGTTAAATGGAAGAAATGTCCTTGAAGTTATTCATATAACAGATGTTTTTAATTATTTGCTTCATGTTTTTACTCACCTAAAATTCCAAATAATACAGTAAGAAAGTAGCATATACCCAGTCATTTTAGTATGTCCAGTACCGACTTGGGATTAATTTAAAGCATTTGAAAATATGACAACATTGAGAGATTGTTCTGGTAAAACAGTTGAATATAATATATACATTTATGTGTTTTTCTCTTTAAAGGATCCTACAAAATGCCTTATTGCTTTCGGATAGTAGGCTTCACCTCTTCTTACAGACTCAGCTAAGCCCAGAAGATATTGAGGCTTGTGTATCTGGACAGACAAAATATTCTGTGGCTGATGCGATTCTTAAGTTTGCCTCTCTACATCGACGTTTTCCTATTGAAGATGGAGAGAGGAAAAAAGGAAAAATTGATGCAGATTCAGATTCAGAGAGGTTACTTCCTTACTTTCTTACATTCTGAAATTTTATATATATATATACACACATGCATATACACACGCTTCACTTTTTTTGTTGATGTAATATTAAGATAATGAAAAAATTAATTGACTGAGATTTTATTGAGCTGTGACAGCTCATCATAGAAGTCTTCACACACACCTCCACACTGAATTAATGAATGCAGTAGAAATTCAATTATCTGCATTCTGATTATGTGAATTTCATTTAGTCAGACTTGAATTATTCGCGTTTAAATTATCTTGCTAAAAAAATATCCAACTGCACTCCAAATGGCTAATTAAAAGTCCAAATTTCCTGTCTCTCTTTGTGACTGGAGATAATTAAAGTTCTCCTCTGTTACTCAGGCTTTGAGTGTGTTGTGAAAACCAATTTCCTCTTTTTATTTTTTTTTCTTTCCCCTTTTCTGCAGTTCATCCTCGGGGCTTGGACACAGTAGTGATGACAGCATTTCACATGGATGCAAAGCAAGCCCAGCTTCTGAAGAATCCTGAAAAATCATTTGTATATTGCCATCCTAAGTACAGACAGAATGGCTCATATTACATTTGCTAGCTACATCTACATGTATTTATGTAAACACATTTTGCAATAACATGTACCTAAAAAGATAACTGTTCTTTCTCAGGTTTTTTAACATACTGTGATAATGTTCATTGGTTGTTTTTTTTTATCAGAGTTGCATATTACTTATCATATTTAAATGTATACAGCCATTAGAATCTCAACCAATATTAGGATAGTGATGCTTTGTGGCAAAATATGGCTGATAAAATACTTCCCTTGATTATATGTTTTAGATCTTAAAAATAATTCTATTTTATTTACTTAAAAGTTAAGTATGTCAAATTAAATATACTCAAAGCACCTTTTGCAGTTTATATCAGAGATGTTTCACTTCGAACAGTCATTTGACATTGATGAAATTATATATGCCACATGGCATTAACTTTTTAAGGTAGCATGGCAACATAAGCGAACAATAACTGTACAAGGGATACGCTGCTGACAATTTGAGATGGATAGTATCTTCCTCTAGTCTTGCTGCAGTGCATGGAAAACTTGCTTTTATCATGCACAAGAACTAGAGGCCAAAAGTTTCAAGCACAGTCACTTAAGTCAGGCATGTGAATAACAGTGACATGATTTTCAGGGGTGTTTGACACCCTCAGTTCACATGAAAGATGGTGGGAGTTATGAAGGTTCACTCCCAGTAAAAGTCACGGGTGAAATTTTGTTACCATTGAAGTCAATGGCAGAATTTCCCATTGGCTTCTCTGGGGTCAGGATTTTGCCCTAGGTGGTTAGCTTTTAGGGCGCTGTTTCAAACTATTAGTGAAGGTTCTGTATTTAATGTTTTAAAGGAAGTGCAGTCATCTCTCCAGTAAGTTGATAATCACATAATTATAACAGTACAAATGCAGACCTCTGTGAAGACTTTGGGTACAAACTGGAATATCTAGAACCACTGATTTCACCTTTACTATAGTAAATGCATTGGAACATTGATTTTTTTTTCACAAATGAAAGGCAGGGCTGAACACTTGTTAACCACAAACATTTTTTTTTTAACTAAGTATCTGCTGTGCTCTATATGTTCACAGTAATAGAGAGGTGTCACCCTAAGTCTGTCACCCTAACAAGTAGAACTTGTTTCAATGTTTTGGTGTATTTATATTTTATGTTTCTTAACTGCTACTGAAAAGAAGCCACTGGTTTTGATTCTGTTCCCAATGAAATAATGGCAAAACTCTCATTTACTAAAGGGCTTCAGGTTCAGGCCCAATATAGATTTTTGCCTCTGAAGGATACTTTGGCTAGTATCAGGGAAGAGATATTTTTACCCTGTGCATTAAAGAGAAAAAATAAATGTTATTAAATGGTCAACTAATAAAAGTTAGTGTAGACATGTGTGGGCCTGTTCTTAAAGTATCCAGCTGGGAATCTGTGAAATTTCAGAATGTGTGTTTTAATAGCCTAAGGATAACATCACTTAGGTAACTACTTTGAACCACTGTTTTCTGTTGATGGTAGCACTTTTAAAAGATAGATATCTAAGTTTCTTTTAGACCAGTTTTACTGAATTGCACAAATGTATCTAGTCACCATCTCTGCTTGGGTGCAGAAGAGTATTTTCATGCGGTGATAACATTTAATTAAAGCAACAAGTTATCACTACAAACTAACTAGAAGAAAGCTGTTATTGCTAATTGGTGACTTTGATTTAACTTTTTCTTGTTTCTTTTACCTCATCAATAGACTTTGTATTTAGCAAATTTGAGGTATTTAGCAAATAGTGAAAAATAATGTGATATGCAAAAACTGGAATAATGTACCTTGGAAAGGGAATTAGATAACTTTTTATTTTCTTTACTACACTTCTCGCTCGTGTATGTGTGTGTTTGGGGGGCTGTTTTGTTTTTTAACATTTAGCTAGATCATTTAATGCACTTTACACTGTGTACTCTGCTAACTTGTAATCTAAATACGTATCTAATATTACAACAAATTTAAGAGGTGGAGGAATCCTGAAGCTATTTTTAATTCAGGGAGCTTCTCTTTTGTGTATTAAAGTTTTCAAAGCAACCTGTGTATCAGTAATACTTGGATTTGTAATAACTGTATGTTATTAGCTTTTATCTCACTCAATACATTTCTATACTATAAAATCCGTTCCATTATTTTCTTCCTGCTCTTTGTGGAAGTTAATGAAGAATGTTGTTCTTTTCAAAGTTGTTGGTATACAATATATTAGTGAAATTTTTCATGTTAAATGTTAATGAAGAATATTTTCTGTTTCAGTGTTTGCTTAGTATATTCCAAAATACTGTAAGCAAGTATTTTAGGAAATTGTCCTAATTTTGTGAAATTTAATATAAAATTTGTAATTGTCTTTGTTTACAACTTTGAGTTAGTAATTTTAGCACTATATTAAATATTGTTTTAATTTCAAGAAGAAAGTCTTACCAGTGTTTTCTCTAGTTTTTGTTGCGACTAAGCAATATTTCAGTTTAATTTTGAAATAGATGTGATTTATAATTATATTCTGATTCCCCACTTCCAGATTCAGAATTCTTCTTTAATTGATTTTTGCTGAGATTTACCCTTTATAATCTAACCTCTCTGTACCTAAAAACCCTTTTATATAAAAGAACATTTGCAAGTAACAAATAGAGCAAAATATCATTTTTATCTCCTATTTGCACTTGATGTAAATGTAAGATTAAAAAAAATCCCATTTCCTACTTCTTTTGTTCTTTGTCATTACTTTATATTACTTAGTACAATTTCCTCTTTCTTCTTTAAATTAACTTTTTTGTTTGCTATGGGTTTTTGAGCAGTATGTAAACAAACAAAATCTTAGTAGTTTACACTTTTATATATTAATACACATGTACCCTCAGAGTAATGTAAATCTGTAGTCAACAACCTGTTACTTGCAATGCCACTAAAATGAAGATAACAAAAATCCCCTGTTAAAAGAAAACTGTTCATTTAATAACAGTTCACTTTTTATAAACATTGAATATTTAGCCACTTGGCTTTCTTCATTCTCCCAACACATAACATTTCAAAATTCTGTGCCCAATATTTTTTTGTATTGACACTTTTATCAATATGCTAAAGATAATTTTTCAGAAATATATTAAAAAGTATCTGCATTTATATTTGTTGACATATTCTGCTGTAAAATTCAAGAAGCACATAGCAGCATTTTCAAGAAATGGATAAAATAAAAGCCTGGTTTAAGTAGATGCTCTTATAAGTAGGATCAATAACGATGATCACTGTCTACCCCGAAAAGGGTTTTTTGTTACTACTTTCTACGCTGCTGAATCCTTCTTTGTAAGTGCAAAAATGTAAATCAATATTTCCAGTATAAAGACTATGATTCTCCTCATGAAAGGCCTAAATGATTAAAGAAAAAACAAGTATTTTCCCTTTAAAATATTCCTTAACATACTCAGTTTTACTTTGTTTCCCAAAATAAATCATATTTTTAAATTAGACTGATTTATCTTTCATAACAGAAACCAAAAATACCCCTTTTGATTTGGAATATTTAGAGTTCATGTATATGTATGTGTGTGTGTGTGTGTGTGTGTATATATATATATATATACACACACATACATATATATATATATATATATATATATATATGTTATACCTATCATACATATACATAAACACTGATTTACAGCTTTGCTATTTTATTGTATATTTGTTTGTCAAAAGTTTTTAAATAACAGTTCCTTGTTGATATAGCAACTCTCTGGTCTAGGTCTGCAATTACAATATACACTACTTAAAATTAAAATGATTATCTACAGTTTGGCATCAAATACAAAAAGGAGGAAAACTCTTGCAAGCTCGGAGGCAAAGCTGAGCACATTTCCTGCAGATCCACTTTTAAAAAGCTGCAAAGAAAAACTTCACCAACTCAAACAGACTTCCCAGAACCTTGCGATCTCTCTTTGTAGCTGTCCCTCAGTACCAGCTTCCCCTTGCCTACACACTGGTCCTGCCTGCGAAGCTCTCACCAACTGCTGGAAGCTGCAAAACTTTTGCTAATTGTTAGGACCACAGTTCCACCAGTTTTGACATTTGCCACCAATTGATTTAGCAGCTCAAGCTCCTCTGGTGCCTGAGTCTTGCCTTGCCTTGGCTTTCACCACAGGCCAGGCTGACGCTTTTAAATTGCATCTTTCCTCCCTTGATTTTGGTTTTTGGTTTTTTTTGTTTTCCTTACTTTTGTCCATTCCACTCAGTAACCATCTGGCTCCATGCTAAGAGGAAAACAGTTACTACCAGAAGTGCCTAGTCATCATCACCCCCCTAAAGTCTCCTGCCTCTGCTCCTGGAGGCAGCACTGGCACCACTTGCAGTTGAGTTTTGCTAGTTTCTTACCTCAGGGCCTTCATCCTCTCTTCCCCCCCACCCCACTTGCTGTAGTTTTTCCTGCAGCTGCAAGCAGAGACTGACTGTGTGTGCAGGGGGCTCTCTCTGCAGCTCGCTCCCTCCCTCCCTCCCTCCCCGCCTGTGAGTGTGTGTGTGTGTGTGTGTGTGTGCGCGCGCGCGTGTGTGTGCGCGCGTGTGTTCCCGGCGCCTCCATGCGCCCAGGCGCTGCCGGGGGCTGTTTGTCAGGTACAGAAGCCAGGCGGCCTTGATCCGGTAACTCGTAGCAACCGCAACCCATGGCAACAGCAGGGGAAAGGAAAAAAAAAAGGGGGGGATACAAAGCCAAGGGGGACGGGAATCAGCCATTTGCAGCTCATCCCCCACCCCCAAACCTTCATGCCTGAGGGTTAGGCCCAGGGGGAACCAAATCGTTTGAAACGGGGGGAAAAAGCATTAGGGGGTGCGTGCATGTGTGTGGGGGGTAACATTTCCCCCTTATCGCAAAGGCGGGGGGGGGTCTGCCCTCTGCGGCCCTTTCTGAGGGTGCAGCTGATGAATGCAGAGCTGTAGCCCGTTTGCAGCGGGTGTCACACAAAGGGTGCGTGTGAAACGCCCCGACAAGGCGCGGCTGCCGCAGGGCCGGGCTCATGGCGCTCTTTGTTATGCAAAGCCCCGGCGCGGCTCGCGGGTGCGGGCGCGGGGCGCAGACAGGCGGCCCCGGGCGCGGCGGGG